TGGACTGCCAAAAGAACAAACAGTCTCAGAAGCGGTGTATCCAAATGCTCCTTGCAGGTAAAGATGGTGAAGCTTCCTCTTTCTTAATTTGGACATGTAGCTAGGCAAGGCTATTCCTTGGAAAGGGACATCACACTTGGAAAGATAGAGTGTAAGCAAAGAAGAAGACTTCCAATGAGATAAGATGGATGCAGTGACTTCTGCAGTGGGCTGTAGTGCGTCAGAGACGATAAGGATGGAAGGAATAGGGCAGGCTTCAGGTCAGCTGTTGATAGGATCAGTAGGAGTCATAGTCAACAGCACCTTCCAACAACACTTACTCTTGTGGGGCTATTTCTTTTTGAGTTTTGTTAACATTTGCTTTGTGTATTTTGCAGATCTGTCATTCGGTGCATAGCTACCTACTTATTATGGTTTGTCCTCTTCTTCCATTTATCCTGTAAGCATCATATCGTTTCCTTCCTTGTCCTTTATGATGGATTTTACTCTAAAGTCTTTTTATTGGAGATTAATATTGCTAATCCTTTTTTCTGATTGCCATTTGCTTGGTATATTTCTCCTGCCCTTTGGTTTTTAGTCTGTCTTTATCTTTGCTTTTCAGATGTGTTTTTATATAGATAGCATACTGAGGTGTTTGGGTTTGTTTTGTTTTTTTTTAACTCCAATCTGCTACTCTTTTTTCTCTTTACTAGTGCATTTGAACCAGAATAATTATTGAGAGCTAAGGTTTTAATGCTATCATTTTGTTGCGTTTTATTCTTGCATGTTGCTATTTGCTTTGAAGTAGATTTGAGACTGAAGATATAAATCCTTTCCGAAAAGATGAGATTAAGGTAGCCGAGATAACGCCCTTCTCTTGTTACCTGATCAAGAAGATTAGAAAGAGCTCTGAGATCCCATCTTGTGTGACTCCATCGGTTCCTGACACTGTAAGTGGAGATATCGCTGGTTCAAAAGTCAGACCTGAAGTACATTTGAGACTGAAGATACATATACTTTCCTGGAAGATTGATACGGTGACTGGGGCATTGGAGGTCAGTGTATTGGAGTTAGAGAGATTGGCTAAAGACAGGGAAGGTTTCAGAGCTGCTGTATGTAGGGTCTCTATACTTCACAAGTGACTCAATGGCTTAAAAAAAAAAAACAATAACGTACAGGTTTGGAAGCAGGAGTG